TATTATGGCAACATGTTTTTAACATCATAGATAAATTTTAGGTTCCCAAGGTCAAAATTAAATCTATTATTTGTTAAATAATTATTTTACATTTGTCAGATAATCACAATGAACTCATCAAGAATTTGATCTAACAAGGACTAGATTAGTAATGCAGGAAGAAAAGAAAGTCTTCCCTATCCAGTTGCTTAAACATACTAAATGACCAAGAAGTCAATTTTAATATTGATCTAACCCTGTAGAAATTACCTTTGTGCTCAAGTCATTTGGATTAGGCTTTCATGACATTTTGAGCATCACTGGACTTGGGTTGATAACCTAAATTATTTATGTCATTTATCAGGGAAAACCCAAGACTTTCCAGTCTCTTTTGATCTGGAAGACAGCATATCAATTGGAGAGAGATAAAGATACTTTTATATTATGTCATAAATTTACATACAACAACAATAAAAATTCCATTGCCTTATGATTTTGTGCTAGGCACTTTGAGCACAATTTTGTCAAAATTCAGAAATGTTAAAGAGGTTATTTGTAGTCACACAGGTAATTTTCAGAGCAGGGACTAAAACCAGGTGATTTGACAGTGCTGGCTCTCACCTTTATATCACACTGTTTTCTTCCTAGTCCTATTGTATGAATCCTTATTTTTTTTATTACTGTTATTCGACTTAAAAGGGGTAAAATAAAATATCTATTAAGTGACCTAACAGCTACTGTGTATATGAAAATAATTAATGTCACTTCTGACATAGGCCAGAAAGGCACTTTACATATTAAATTATTAATTCTGAAAGTTTATTTTGTGTTTTTTTTAAATGCACTATGGTCTTTTTTGAAGTTCAATAGTGAAACACGAAGTTTTTGTCCCTTTAGAGAAAGGGACAAAAGTAATAGAATATATGTATATATATATGTATACATATAGGATATATGTATATTATTTATACACACACACACACACACACACACACATAAATAAAGGGGAGTTTTTTGGGAGTATTGACTCACAGGATCACAAGGTGAAGTCCCACATTGGCTGTCTGTAAGCTGAGAAGCCAGAATGCCAGTCCAAGTCCCAAAACCTTAAAAGTAGGGAAGCCAACAATGCAGCCTTCAGTCTGTGGTTGAAGGCCCTAGAGTCCTGGCAAATCACTGCTGTAAGTCCAGAAGTCCAAAAGCTGAAGAACTTGGAGCCCAATGTTTAAAGGCAAGAAGCATCTAGTACAGGAGAAAGATGAAGGCTGGAAGCCTCAAGTCTGTTCTTTCCATGTTTTTCTGCCTGCTTTTATTCTAGCTGTGCTGGCAGCTGATTAGATGGTGCCCACTGAGACTGCCTCTCCCAGTCTACTGATTCAAATGTTAAACTCCTTTCTCAACAACCTCACAGACACAACCAGGAACAATACTGTGCGTCCTCCAATCCAATCAATTTGGCACTCAGTATTAATCATCACAAGTACATTTCTTGTCAACTTGATTCCATACACATCTCCTGGGGGCATATTTAATCTTTAAATAAAGCAAATAAGAAGGTCATAATTACACAGAAAACAAAACAGCTATCCTTCATACAACCAGAAGCACACTAATCTTTCACCTAAATGTGATTATGTGAAATTAACAACATTTAAATGCTACTATGAAGTCAATAAGTATTATGTCACATGATAAAGGAAAAAGAAAGAAAATGAAATGAAGTTATGTTCTTATTACAAGTGTATACACACACAAACTCTTTCTTAACAAAATAAGGAGAAAATACTCCTAACGATTGCAGTCCTCATTTCTGCAACCAGTCATATGGATGTAGCTGGTATTGATGAATACCTTCTTCTACTACCTACTCTGTATTCCCTTTGCCTTCATAAAACACCACAGGAGGTCATGGATATTTACCTGGTGGAGTGACCCTAACCTTCATTCCTAAAGGATCCGGACCATTTGTAGTCCTGCCTGGATTGGGCTATTGTAGTTTCCCATTGACCTTAGTCACAGAGCATGGTAATCCTCTGAGATGCCCTAAAAGATCTCCTGTATTCCACACATACTCTTTCTTACCTCCATTGTGGAGCAGGAGACTGATTTCATATTGGTAGTCCAGGTCAATGACCCCAGCCAACACTGTAACTCCCTTTCTAGTCTGTTGACTTAGAGGCAGCAGGAAGCCAAAATGAACAGATGGCAATTTTAACTTCCAGATTAATTATTGTTGTATCCTCTCGTGGCAGCATTCCTCCCTCTGGAAAGAAGACGTCCATGCCAGCAGAACATAATATTGCAGGAACAGGAGGCAATAATTTTGCTAGTGGGTCTGTGTTAGTTAATACTGAGTGTCAATCTGATTGGATTGAAAGATACAAAGTATTGATCCTGGGTGTGTCAGTGACGGTGTTGCCAAAGGAGATTAACATTTGAGTCAGTGGGCTGGGAAAGGCAGACGCACCTTCAACCTGGGTGGGCACAATCTAATCAGCTGCCAGCGTGGTTAGAATATAAATCAGGCAGGAAAATGTGAAAAGAGAGACTGGCCTAGCCTCCCAGCCTACATCTTTCACCAGTGCTGGATGACTCCTGCCCTTGAACATTGGTCTCCAAGTTCTTCAGTTTTGGAACTCAGACTGGCTCTTTTTTTCTCCTAAGCCTGCAGATCACCTATTGTGGAACTTTGTGATCATGTGAGTAAATACTTAATAAACTCTTCTTTTTATATATGTCTATTTCATTAGTTCTGCCCCTCTAGAGAACCTCGACTAATATAGGGTCACTAGGGGTGATGGTGAATGGTTCCACTTCCACCCCTTGATTCCTGGACTCATCAATCCCAGCTATGGGAAAAACAGTACCATATATTGGATGCTGATCCAGAGCATACACATTTTTCCTGAGAAGTTGGCCCCAACCTTGCAAAGTATTGTCACCTAGACTGGTGTAACTGTGACTTTATAAGGCCATTTCCCCATTCACTATTTCAGGATGACGGGGAACATGGTAAGACCAGGCCAAATGGGATAGTTGAATGGGGATGTGATGGGAATCACCACCCCTGTATCTTTCAAGTCTTTGATGGTGACACTAATCTCCACAGTTCCTTCAGGGATGTGATACTGTTTTTTATTTACTATTTTTCCTTGGTAGAAGTAACTCTAATGGCTTCCATTTGGCCTTTTCCACTATGATAGCCCTCATCCTACCAGTGAGGGAGCCAATGTGGGATTCTGCCAGTTGCTAAGTATGTCTATGCCAATCATACATTCTGACACTGGGGAAATAACCACAGGATGAGTCCAGCAACCCATGGGACACACTGTAAGTCAGAACTAAGCTGAAACTCAGTTACTCGCCTGACCTTCATAAGCCCCCACTTTAACTAGAGAACCACAGTTATGTTTTGGGTCCCCTGGAATTGTCACCTCAGAGCCAGTGTCCAGTAGTCTCCAAAATGCCTGATCATTTTCCTTTTCCCTGGTGTACAGTTACCCTGGTAAAAAGCCAGAGGTCTCCTTGGGGAATGATGGGAGAAAGATTAACAGTATAAATTGTTAATGAAGTGGGGTCCTTCATCAAGAACTGTCCCCCGCTTCATTCAATGGGTTCTGGGTCTATAAGCTGGTTCAACTCTGGAATCTGATTGAGGGGGCCATGATTTTTCATCTTTATAAATCAAAGTAGACTTTTACTCACTCGACCTGGAAGTCTGCTTATACAAATTAAGTAGAAATGCAGTAAGCTTCCTATCAGTTTCAGTTCTAGGAATATCATGATACATTAGCCAATGCCAGAGCTCTACACAAGTCAGACTATTCTGATTGTTGCTTTGCCTTTGCTGTCCATTAAGGTAACTATGCCCACCTTGCCTTTGATGGTTGTGTCACCTCTTGGTCCCTGCCACCTTGAGATCCAATTATTCCCATTGTATTTAAATTTTCTAATTGAGTGACTGCAGTTCCCACTGTAAGATCTGGCATATAGAGAAGAGTAATCATAGAGCTCTTCAAGGATATAGGTGCTCCCCTCACAAATCTGTTTCACAAAGTATTGAGGAGGAATATGTCATTGGATCCTCCCAGCTGGGAGCAGTAGGTCTAAAGTGACTAATCCACGTTGGCATTCTAATCTCCGTATTCCTTTGCATCCTTTCCTCTACATTAAACCAAGGGAGATAAGGCAATTTTAGCTCACTCTCGGTAGGCCATCTTTTGATCCTTATTTCAGCTAACCAAGCAAATAAAGTACTAGAACTTTTTTTTTAACTTCCTAAGCTGCAACATTCAATGAAGAATCCCTGCTTAATGAGCCCATTTGAATAAATTCAGCCTGGTCCAATGTTATGTTCCTTCCACTATTATCCCCCACCCTTGATATTCATTCCTATGCCTGTTCTTCAGATTTCTGCTTAAAAATAGAAAACTCAAGCAGTAATTTTGGAGGGTAGCCTATCTCCTTGTGGGTTACACTATGAATCTCACCCTAAAGCCTACCAGGACTTGAGCCTAGTTATAGGCCTAGAAGCAAGCAGGGGTGTAAAGGGTGGGTTTTGAGGAAAAGCAGCATTGTCTTGATTGGCAGCTGCCTCTGGGAGGCCATCACTGTCGCCTCAGGCAGAGCATGGTTAACCTCCTCAGATAATGACAGAAAGGGTGATTGCAATTTGGGTGGCGGGGATGTTGCCACCACTGTGGGTAGGCAGCCTCTTTTCTCTGTCAAAAAAAAGGCTTATCAGAGTTTATAAGCTCAGTATCCCCAGCTTCATCTGGGTCTTCCCACAGATCACTATTCCAAGTTGCAGGGTCCCATTCTTTTCCAATCAATGTTCTAACTTCAACAGTACACACCTGGTGAGACTGAGCATGTACCTTTCATTGTAGGTCAGCTACTGGCATGATAAGAGCTTGTGTCTGATTTTCCACAATTTCAGCCCTTTGTCTACAGGAGATAAGACTCTTAATCAGGGCAATCTTGAAAGACTTTAGGCTCAGTACAGCTAGTGCTTGACTTACCACCATGACTGGTGCCGACAGACCGGTCATAACATGATTTGGTCGTAAGTTGAGTATGCTACATGTACAGTACTGTGAAATGATGTTATAAAAATCTTTAAGTCATATTTTATCATAATTTTCTTTCATTATTGTTATATATCATAATTTTCTTTGTTCATTTTATGCCATTTGTATCATCTCTACACCATTTTGTTTCTTATTTTTACATTCATCAGGTTTAAGTAAAACACTGCATTACCAGTACAACTGGTTTAATATTTGCAAAACATACAAAATTGCAAAATACAGGTGCATACAAAAATACAAAATACAGGTGTAAAAAATACCATAGGAAACATTTTCCCAATTGCAAAACATATCAAAATATACAAACATGTATGAAACATTTTATTAGCCACTGGTGCTTGGCTGTGGATCATTGATGTCGCCATCTGAGGCAGCAGTTGGGGTTACCGGAGTTGGTTTTTTCATAAACATGGTGAGCTTTGTCTGAATTGTATGTTTCTTTTTTTCTTCATAAATTTAATGATACGGACGAAACACATCGTGTGCCATCCGTTCAATCCTTGCACATCATTCGATGTTTGGGTCCATTGCTTCCAAATGTATAAGAAGTTTATTGGGAGGGGTGTGATGAAAATATCCAAGACACAAAACACAAATTGCTGTACCGAGTCTGGAATAACCGTTGAAACGGTGCACGCGGAGATGGTAGTGCTGCCGGAAGCTGGTCCGCACTGTCGTATGCCCAGCTGGGCAACGTTTGCGCTGCCAGACGCGGAGCAGTTGTGGCTAGCAATTGTGGTTGCAAAGTCGAATGGTCATAAGTTGCATAGGTCGTAAGTTGACCAATACCTGTATGTGCTTCTTGAGCCAGTAGACAGAATCTCTGAGCTCATCCTTTTCTTTCGTTACATTGTCCAGAGAACCTAGGACCAACCGACCAACTTCATTATATTCCTTGGTTCTTCAAATGTGGTCAAAGGTATTACGTATAGAGTCACTAAACTCCGTGCCTCTCACAAAAGGTGAATCAGGAGTATCAAATGCATTTGCTTTGAATAGGTCTCTTTAAACAGTTCACACCACGGACTGACTATCAATGTTCTTCATACTATTAGAAGTAGACTCCTTAGCATTTTAGGGTTTACTCATATTTATCATCCATCTCCAGAAACGCCAAACCAACTAAAGATCTCTGTCCTTAAAATTCTGTTCCTCTAGAACCACTCCCAGTACCAGAATCTGTATTAATGAGGTTTCTCTAAAGAGACAGGACTAATAGGATATATGTATATATGAAGAGGAGTTTATTAAAAAAATTGACACACATGATCACAAGGTGAAGTCCCACAATAGGCCATCTGCAAGCTGAAAAGCAAGGAAGCCAGTCTGAGTCCCAAAAAATTAAAAATAGAGAAGCTGACAGTGCAGCCTTTCTTCTATGTCTGAAGGCTTGAAAGCCCTGGCAAATCACTTGTTTAAGTTCAAAAGTCCAAAGCTGAAGAACTTGGAGTCTGATTTTCAAGGGCAGGACACATCCAGACAGAAGAAAGATGAAGGCAAGAAGGCTCAGCAAGTCTGCTCTTTCCACATTCTTCTGCCTGCTTTATTCTAGCCCTGCAGGCAGCTGATTAGATTGTGCCTACCCAGATTGTGGATGGCCTTTCCCCATCCACTGACTCAAATGTTAATCTCCTTTGGCAACCCCTTCACAGACACACCTAAATACAATACTTTGCATCATTCAATCCAATACAATTGTCACTCAGTATTAACCATCACATTATATAAATTGTGGATCATGTCTCAATGATGTATTGATATATAATTTCAGTGACTAGATAACAGTCACTGGTTGAAACATGTTCTCAGAAAATTATATGGGAAAGTAAATATATTTCAAATGAAAAATCTGTGAGTATAATTATCAGTCATCTAGGATACAAGTATATCCTAATCAATAAGAGGAAGACAATGAAAGACTAGAATAAGTTTAAGATATCTTGGTTAATTGTATTAAAGAGCTTAAGAAAGTGATCCGCAAACAGCTATTTCCATATGATTCTAAGATGGCTAAAACATAAATGTCACCATACAACACTGAAAGTATATGTGATTTTTATCAGCAGATGATTTAAATTTTAACATTTAAACAAGTTCAAATGTCAAAACAGGTAAAACAAGTTTAGGAAAAGAAAGAAAGTTAGCCAGGTTATTGTAAGAAGTTTTTTTTTTTTTTTTTTTCCATTTATTTATTTTATTGCATTTTAGGTTTTGGGGTACATGTGAAGAACATGCAAAATTGTTGCATAGGAACACACGTGGCAGTGTGATTTGCTGCCTTCCTCCCCATCACCTACATCTGGCATTTCTCCCCTTGCTATCTCTCCCCAGCTCCCCACCCCCCCCCGTCCCTCCCCTATTTCCCCCCAACTGACCCCAGTGTGTAGTGTTCCCCTCCCTGTGTCAATGATAAAATTTGCCACCAATTTTAAGCAAAATAGTTAAGTGGAATTTGAAAAAGTAAAAGTTGCTAACATATTGCAACTAGATTTCTATGTGTGTATATATTATGTGTGTATATACATATTTATATGCAATGTGTAGAGTAGATGGAAAGTGCATGATCAAAACCTTTTTCAAAAACAGATCAATAGCTGAGAATCCTTTTAAATGAAAGCCAATAAATGACATTCAACAAACACATGCATTGTACAAACCTGATTGGTATACTTATAGCACTTGGTAATATATTTACAATGTCTGAACTGTAAAATTGACCAAAAAGGTCGCAGACCTAGTCTTTAACAGGTTCAGAGGCAATAACACAGAGAAATTAACTCCAACACGATAAACTCTTAAAAATATGGCTTTCTTTTTACAAGTCTCTTGTGCTCGCATTCTATTTTTTCCCCTCCCTTTTCATGACTGCTTCGAATTGTGTCATGGTTTTATTTTCTTCATATGAAAATTACCTACCATTGCTAGCTTTTCTTTTTTTTTTGGCATTTCGTACCTCGTCCCAGTCCAACACCTTTATCTTCTTTCCCTCCCTCCCTCTCTCTCTCTTTCTCTTTATTTCTTTTCTTTCTTTCTTCTTTCTTTCTTTCCTTTCCTTTTCTTTCTTTCTCTTTCTTTCTTTCTTTCTTTCTTTCTTTCTTTCTTTCTTTCTTTCTTTCTTTCTTCTTTCTTTCTTTCTTTCTTTTTTCTTTCTTTCTTTGTCAGCACTAGATACATACTATAAAGTCCTAAAAAAGAAAAGGTTACAGCCAACTCTCCTTTCTGCTCCCTGCATAAGCATTATAGATAGGCTTTCAAAAGTTCGGTCTAGAGAGCTGTGACCACCCTGCTCTCACACTGAGAACAAAGTCACCTTCTCAGTATGCAGAAAACTTCTGCTACTTTTTCTTTTTCTCTCTGTAGGGAGAAACCTCTCTAGTGAGCCTTCTGAACCTGACCTTCCAGCATGACAAGACAATCTTCAGGATACCATGCTGCTTAGGTGGCTAAAGCCAGTGCTTTGCACTGTTTGGGATTTCAACCTTTGACACAGTATACTATCTTTAAAGTTGAGAAATGTAGTCATATAGCAATGTTGGCTTTCCTTCGCATTAGTTCAAGTGATGTCTTTTGTCTTTCTTAATTTTAATGGCAGACAAAATATTTTACATCCTACAAACATGATGCTCCTTCTACCAATTTATAAGTAGATGTATTGCTGTAGCAAATGTTTTCTTCTTCTTTTTTTCCTTACTATATGCTATAATAATGAAAAAATTTAAAAATACTGTTAAAGAGGCTTCTGCTTTCAGTGAAGATTAAGTAATGAGGTCAGATTTATATCTCTGCCTAAAATGAACAAATAATTTAAAAAACAATAAAATGGACAAAATATGTAACACAATTGTTCTCAGGATATTAGATATCAAGCAACAAAATACATTGAATGCTTAGATACAATTTATCAAAATAAAGTGAGCCCTAATATTGATTTCTGTCTTTGGAGAGTTCCAGGAATGGCATCAGAAGAAGAACCTAGGCAGAGTTCATGGATTGCAGTAACATGGAGAGAGAATTAAGAGTGCAGAAAATTAAGGTAGATGTAGTTGCAGTATATGTTAATAGTACCAGATACTAAAATGCCACACAGGAAAAGAACTCCAAAGATCTTCAGAATGTCCCCCTAAAGTATTCAGCAGAATGTTGATCAACACACTGCATATAAAGAAGCTGTCAGAAAACATGGAAGGAACTATATCCAAGAATTAAAGGGAACAGTTTCTCATACTGACAAAGGAAGCCTTCATAATTCATAGGTCACTGGAAAAGTACTCAGAATGATCTTTTCTCAGTAGTAGAAAATAATAAACCCTAGACTAAACTTTGCTCTGCTGTTGCATAACAAATATTAAAAGCAAGAAACAATTATATCCCAGAACAACTCAATAATATATGTAAAAATAAAAAACATCCAGCACCCAAAAGGTAAAATTTAAAATGGCTACCATATAAGCCTATATGTAGTTCAGGGAATAATAATTAAAAATCAACCCAGAACTGACATAGATGCCAGAATTAACAATGAATAACAAAGAAAGTTATTTCAACTGTACTTATATGTTCAAAAATCAATTAGACATGAAAAAATTCAAGGGCAAATTGAACTTCTCAAAATTAAAACTACAGTTGCTAATATGGTAATCTCTGGATGGCATTAACAACAAACAGGACATTATAGAAGAAAAGGTAAATTAAATTAAAGACATATCAATAGATTTAACCTAAATAAGCCTTGGGATGGCATCAAGTAGCCTAGACACATGAAATTTGAACCTTCAAAGAAGTGAGAGCAGAAGAAATAGTGACTGAATATGTCTAAATTTAATTGAAAACAATAAACCAAGTTTTAAGAAGCTAAACAACTTCAAAGCACAAAACAAACCTGCAGAAAACTGCATCAAATTACCACATAACCAAATTGCTTAAAAGCAGTGACAAAGGGAAAATCTTAAAAGTATTCTGAGAAAAATGACTCAGTACACAAAGAAAAACAAAGATAAGAATGACAGCAGATATGTTGCATCAGAAACAATGTGGCAACAAAGGGGGGAAGTGTATTTGAAGTCCAGATGGAAAACAAACATAAGTATGAATCCAGGATTGCCTATCCAGAGAAAATGCCTTTGAAAGTGAAAGATAAGTGAGGACTTTACAAGGCATAAAAATCTTTTAAAAAGTATTAATAACAAAACTGCACTATAAGAAATGCTAAATAAGTCCTTCAGTGTGAATAATACAGTATATTGGATAGCTATGTAGACATAAACAAGGAATGAAGAGGACCATAAATGGCAACTGTATTGAAAAATATATAATCTTTTGTGATTATTTAAATCTTTTTAAAATGTAACCCATTAAAGAGAAATAATAAAAGTGTAGTTGGGGTTGGTAACACACACAGGACTAAAATACTGGAGAACAATAGCATAGAGACACAGAGTAGAGAAATGGAATTATACTATTTAAGTGTTCTTAAACTTGTCTGATATTACTTTAAAGAAAACGAACATAAATTAAATGAATATACAATAAACTGGAGTTTGTCAACCTTAGCATTACTGGACTGAATGATTCTTCATTGTGTGGAGCTATCTTGTATATTGCATGACATTTAGTAGCACCCCTGAATTCTACCAACTTAACACTAGTAGCATGTCCCATCATGTCTCCAGATGTAGCTAAATATCCTGTGGTGGTACAAAATTACCTCTGATCAAAAATCACTTTTAGGAACGCTAAGACAATCATTAAAATATATAATTATACTAAACAGCTAATAAAGAAGTAAAAATTAAAAATGAAATCATCAAAAATATCAAATGGAAAAGAAAATATAAGAAAAAGAGAAAAAAGAAACACAGTTTATATTGGACAAATGCAAAACAAACACTGAAATGATAGACTTAAAAATAAACATATCCATAATCATACTAAATATAAATGATCTAAATATGGAAATTACAGGACACAGATTATCAGATAGTATGGAGAAGCAAAAGCCAACTATATGTCATCTTTAAGAAACACTTAAAATAAATTTGTTTAAAAGTAAAATAATTGAAAAAATATACCAAGAAGACAATATTTTTAAAAGAAAGAACACCTGAAATGTATGTTTCAGAGCAATAAATATTCTTAGCAACAAAGAAGGCCATTTCATAGTGATTGAATGGTCAATTCATCAAGAAACCACAACAGTGATAAATGATCATGTAGTTAAAAATAAAGCAACAAAATACATAAAACAAAACCTGATAGAACTACAGACATATATTGACAAATCTAAAATTATTATGGAAGATTTCATTACTTCTCATTCAAAGATTCATAGAAAAAGTAGACAAAAAATCAGTCAGTATGTAGATTTAAATATTATCAACCAACTATTTAACAATTAACACAAGAATATATAGTCGCTTCAAATCCATATATAATATTAATCAGAATAACCTATATTCAGGCCATAAAACAAATTTATGTAATGCTATTAAAATTAATTTATGCTCTTGGATCAAAATGAAATTAAAATCAAAATTCATTAATTTTTATAATCCTCAAATATTTGAGAATTAAATAACACACTTGTAAATATCTTATGGTCAAAACATGATTATTAGGTATTTAATAATTTTAACCAAATTTTAAACCAAATGGATATTTAAAAAAAATACTAAAATTTGTGTGATGCTACTGAATCAGTAGTTATAAGAAAAAAATGTATCATTAAACATCTGTTTTAGAAAAAATTAAATCTGAAATTAATAACATCAGTTTCTAACTTAAAGCACTGAAGGAGACCTGTAAATTAAACCCAAAATAAACAAAGCAAAACAAAGTGAACAGATAAACAATAGAATAACAAAAGAACCAAAATATCATACAGTTGGTTCTCTCTCTCCCTAGGTTCTGTATCTGTAGATTTGCCAAGTTGAGGGTAAAAAGTTTTCAAAAGAAAAAAGAAAAAATAGCAATACATCAATACAAATGATACAAATAAAAATCATAGAGTGTAACAGCTATTTGCATAGCATTTACATCATTTACATTGTATTAGATATTATAAGTAATATAGAGACGATTTAAAGTATGTGGAAAGATGTGTATAAATTATATGCAAATACTATGCAGTACATAAGATTCATATTAAATAATTATATGCACTCTTATATGCTGCTAGCAACTAAGAATTAAAATTTTATTAAAATACAATATATAATTCTACTGAATTATTTTAGAAAAATACTTCAGAAAATTTCCCTTAGGAAAATTGGACTTAAGCTGTTTAAGATTATTACAATGAAAACTACAAATTCTTAGTAAAGGAAGATTTAGCTAAAAGGAGAGATGTAACTGCTTTATTGATCAGAAAACTCAAAGTTGTTAGGATTTCAATTTTTCCTAAAAGAATTTGTGAATTTATTGTAATCTCAATCAAAATTTTAGCAGATTATCTTATGGAAATTTAAAAACTGATTCTAAAATGCATATAGGAATACAGGTGTGAGATGGTATCTCAGTGTGGTTTTGATTTGCATTTCTCTAAGTTTTGTTGAATATTTTTTTATATGTTTGTTGGCTACCTGTATGCCTTCTTTTGAAAAGTGTCAAGGATCTAGAAATAGAAATACCATTTGACCCAGCAATCCCATTATTGAGCATACACCCAAAGGATTATAAATCATCATACTGTAAAGATACATGCACACATATGCTCATTGTGGCACTGTTTACAATAGCAAGACTTGGAACCAACCCAAATGTCCATCAATGATAGACTGGATTAATAAAACGTGGGACATATACACCATTAAATACTATGCAGCCATAAAAAAGGATGAGTTAATGTACTTTTCAGGGACACCAATGAAACTGGAAACCATCATTCTCAGCAAGCTGATACAAGAACGGAATACCAAATACTACATGTTCTCACTCACAAGTGGGTGTTGAACAATGAAACCACATGGACACAGGGATGGAAACATCACACACTGGGGCCTATTGGGGGATGGGGGGAATAGGTGAGGGATAGCAGGGGATGGGGGATTGGGGAGGGCTGACATTAAAAGAAATACCTAATGCAGATGACAGGGGAATGGATACAGCAAACCACCATGGAATGTGCATACTTATGCAGCAGTCCTGCATGATCTGCACATGTACCCCAGAACTTAAAAACATAATTAAAAAAAAAAAAAAAAACTCTCAAAAGTAAGAAAAGTGTCTGTTCATGTGCTTTGCTCACATTTAATGGGACTATTTGTTTTTAGCTTATAAATTTGTTTTGGTATCATATAGATTTTGGTTATTAGACCTTTGTTGGATGTATAGCTTGCAAATATTTTCTCCCATTCTGTGGATTGTCTCTTCACTCTTTTGATAGTTTATTTTTCTGTGCAGAAGCTCTTTAATTTAATTAGGTCCTATTTGTCATTTTGTATTTTTCTTGCAATTGCTGTTGACATCTTCATCATGAGATCTTCACCAGATCCTATGTTCAGAACGGTGTTTTCTAGGTTATCTTTTAGAGTTTTTATACTTTTAGGTTTTACATTGAAGTCTTTAATTCATCATTAGTTGATATTTTTGTATGGTGTAAAGAAGGGGTCCATTTTCATAATGAGGAGCATCCTTTCCCCATTGCTTGTTTTGGTTGATTTTGTCAAAGATCAGATGTTTGTAGGTGTGTGACCTTGTTTCCCACCTCTCTATTCTGCTCCATTGGTCTACATGTTTGTTTTTGTACCAGGAATATGCTGTTTGGGTTATTGTAGCTTTGCAGTATATTTTGAAGTTGCGTAATGTGATACCTCCAGCTTTGTTATTTTTGCTTAGAATTTCCTGGACTATTTGGGCTCTTTTTTACTTCCATATGAATTTTAAAATAGTTTCTCTAATTCTGTGAAGAGTGTCATTTGTAGTTGGATAAAAATAGCATTGAATTTGTGAATTACTTTGTGCAGTATGATCATTTTGACAATGTTTACTCTTCCTCACTATGAGCATGAATGTTTTCCCATGTTTCTTTCATGTATACAAGTATTGATCAACTTACGACCTATGCAACTTACGACCATTCGACTTTACTACCATAATCGCTAGCCATGACTGCTCCGCGTCTGGCAGTGCAAACGTTGCCTAGCTGGGAGTACAACAGTGCGGACCAGCTTCCAGCAGCACTACCATCTCCGCGTGCACCATTTCAACTGTTATGCCAGACTCGGTACAGAAATTTGTGTTTTGTGTCTTGGATATTTTTCATCAAACCCCTCCCAAGATGTCTACCAAAAGGAAATTGTCCTTGTCTATTCCTCAGCCTGCCAAGAAGGAAAGAAAGGCCATCGATCTCGACACAAAAATGAAGGTAATTAAGCAGTACGAAGGAGGAAAGAAAGTGAATGTGATCCCATGTGATACAAAGTTATCACACTCGACTGTGTCGACGATTTTGAAAGATAAAGAAAGAATTCGTGAAGCTGTGAAAGGTTCTGCACCCATGCTATCAACAGTTATAACAAAGCAACGAAGCGGGCCCATCCACGAAATGGAGAAATTGCTATATATTTGGATGGAAGACCAAATTCAAAAATGGACACCATTAAGTCTTATGATAAAATACGACCAAATCGTGTTATGACTGGTCTGTCGGAACCAATCGTGGTTGTAAGTCGAGCACTAGCTGTAATTTATTTCAACAATATTATGTAATTCTTGTTGATGAGATCTTTAATCTCCCTGGTTTGATGTATTCCTAGGTATTTTATTTTTTTGTGTGTGGCTATTTGTAATGGGATTTTGTTCTTGATTTGACTCAGCTTGGATATGTTGTTGGTGTATAGAACTGCTACTGATTTTGTACATTGATTTCGTATCCTGTACCTTTGCTGAAGTACTGTATCACATCAACTAGCTTTTAGGTAGGCACCATGAGGTTTTCTAGGTATAGAATCATATTGTCTGCAAATAGGGATAGTTTGGCTTCATTTCTTCCTTTTGTATGTCTTTTATTTCTATTTCTTTCTTGATCACTCTGGTTGGGACTTCCAGTACTATGCAGAATAGGAGTGGTGAGACAGGGTATCATTGTCTTATTCCTGTTTTCAAGAATGCTGCCAGTTGTTGCCCATTCTGTATATTTGCTGTGAGTTTTCGTAGATGGCTTATTATTTTGAGGTATGTTCCTCCAATGCCTCATTATTTTGAGAGTATTTACAAGAAGGTATATTACATTTTATTGAAAGCCTTTCTGCATCTATTGAGATGATCATACGGTTTTTGCTATTAGATTTCTTCGTGTGGTGATTCACATTTTTAACTTGCCTATTTGAAACAACCTAGCTTCCCAGGAATAAATCTTACTCAGTCATGGTGGATAAGCTTTTTGATATGCTGCTGAATTTGGCTTGCCAGTATTTAATTGAGAATCTTTGCATCTATATTGATCAAGAACATTGTCCTGATGTGTTCTTTTCTTTGGTGGCTCTACCATGTTTTGGTATCAGGATGATGCTGGCCTCATAGAATGATTTAAGGAGTAGTCTTTTCTTCTTAAACCTTTGGAGCAGTTTCAGTAGAAGTGGTACCAGCTCTTCTTTATATGTCTAGTAGAATTTGCCTGTAAATCTCTCTGTTCCTTGACTTTTCAGGTTGATAGGCTTTTTATTACTAATTCAGTTTTATAATTCATTAATAGTCTGTTCTAGGTTTCAGTTCTTCCTGGTTCAATCTTGGGAGATTATATGTTTTCAAGAATTCATCCATTTCTTCTGTATTTTCTAGTTCATTTGCATAGAGGTCTCCATAATCATTTCTAAGATTTTTTTAAAATTCTGCTGAATTAGGTATAGTCTTCATCATTTCTGATTATTTTTATTGAATCTTCTCTCTATTAGTCTAGTGAAGTGGTCTATCAATCTTATTTATTATTTCAAAAAACTAATTCCTGGAATCATTTTGGTTTTTCTCATGACAATTTTCTTCAATTCAGTTCTAATTTGGCTATTTGTTGTCTTTCGCTGACTTAGGGGTTGTGTTGCTCTTGTGTCTCTAATTCCATGAGTTGTTATGTTGAGTTGTTAATTATCTCTCTAACTTTTTGATGTGGTTATTTTGCACTATAAACTTTTCTCCTAACATTACTTTATCTGCACCCCAGAGATTCTGATATATCTTTGCTTTCATTAGGATCAAAGAACTTCATGATTTCTGCCTTAATTTCATTATTTACCCAGAAGTCATTCAAGACAGGTTGTTTAATTTCCATGTAATTGTGTGGTTTAAATAAATATTTGTAGCTTTGATTTCTATTTTTTTGCACTGTGGTCTGAGTGTGGTTGGTATGATTTCAGTTTCTTTGAATTTGCTGAGGAATGTTTTATGTCTGACTGTGTTTGATTTTAGAATATGTGCCACGTGAAGAAGAGAAGAATGTACATTCTGATTTTTTGGGTGGAGAGTTCTGCAGATGTTTCAAGTTAATGACCTCTGTGTTTTTTATCATTGTTTAAAGTTAGTATATTTTTTTCTGAATTAGAATATCAACCCCTGCTTTTTTTCTGTTTTTCATTTGCTTGGTAGATTATTTTCCATCCCTTTACTTTGAGCCTATGGGTGTCATTGTATTTGAGATGAATTTCTTGAAGATCGCATACAGCATACACATTTTGCTTCTTAATCCAACTGGTCACCCTGTGCCTTTTAATTGGGGCATTTAGCCAATTTACATTCAGAATTAGTATTTATATGTGGAGATTGGATTCTGTCATCATGTGGTTAGTTAGTATTATACAGACATAATTGTGTGCTTTATAGTGTCACTGGTCTATGAACTTAAGTGTGTGGTTTTTGTTGTTGTTCTTGTTGTTGTTTTGGTGGCGAGTAACAGTCTTTTATTTCCATGTTTAGCACTCCCTTCAAGACCTCCTATAAGGCAGGTCTGGTGTTAATGGATTTCATTTGCATTTGTTTGTAGGAAAAAAATACAGAGATATCTTGTGTACTATTACCTAGTTTCTTCAGTGTTCACATCTTGCAAAACTATGGTAAAGTATTAAAATACATTGATATAGTCAAGGTACAGGAATATTTTCATCATGACAAGGATTCTCCATATTACTTTCGTATAACATCACTTCTAGATTCTATCTCCTCGTTCACCCTGGAAACCATCTCAATTTCTATAATTTTTTTATCACGTTGCCTGGAAGAGGAAAGATCTAGTTATGTTAACAGAGATTCTTTACAGATTTAAATTTTCTCCTACGAAAGGTATCTTTGCAGAGCCATTTCAAAATATAGCAAAGAAACATATTTTGGGGTGAAAAATTGATTTCCTTCTTTATCTGTTGTCTCGTGTCAGAGACAGTTTGGAAAGTAAGCCACATTATATAAAGCTAAATAAAACTCATCTAATGAGGTTTTATGGTTTGTAGGATGTTACTATCCAGAATCTTTAGATAGAAATTTGGGCAAGAGATTAAAAAAAGCTGTATTTCAGTGTTCAGGCAAGAATGCACACTCTTACAACTTCTGTTTAACATGGAAGTACTAGCAAGAGTAATCAGATCATGAAAAGAAATAAAAGCTATTTAATCAGAAAGGAAGAAGTTAAATTATCTTTATTTGCAGATGATATAATTCTACATGTAGAAAACTCCGAATACTCCACCAAAAAAAAAAAAAAAGTGATAGAACTAATGAATCAATCCAGTAATCTAAAAGGATACAAAATTAACATACAAAAATACATGGCATTTCTATAAAAAAGTATATTGACCTGTGTAATTGGATCTCATTTGTCAATTTTGGCTTTTGTTGCCATTACTTTTGGTGCTTTAGTCATGAAGTCTTTTTCCCATGGCTATGTCCTGAATGGTATTGCCTAGGTTTTCTTCTAGGGTTTTTATGGTTTTAGGTCTTAATATTTAAGTCGTTAATCCATCTTGAGAATGTAGTAGTTAACTTCTAAAAGTTTTCTGCTTGGTTAAGTTCCCCTTTTCTAATCCATTGGCTATAGAGAGCAGCCTTTAGTTGGGCCTATTTTGTCTGTGCCTGTTGGTTTTTTCAGGCTACTGACTTCAGCACCCATTCTGGTTAAGTGAGGCAAAAGAAATACCAGAGAACTGAAAAGCAGGTTAGTCTTTATGCCCAGAGGTCATACATTGTTGTTTCTTCTTTCTTCCATCTTTCAGAGTCTTAAGTTTATATTATACATAAATGTATATATATATAAAACATTCGAGGTTTCTATACTAGCAGGCAGTTGGTTTTTTTTTGTTTGTTTGTTTTTGTTTTTTAATATAAGCAGACCAAATGGAAAGAAAGTGTCTTTTTTCCCAAAAGTGGAGTCAACAATGACTTTTTTTTGGTGACAGTCACATTTTGTTAGTGACAACTACTAAAACAGTGTAATTATACCTAATATAGTAATTTTATTATTCACTTATTTTGAAATGAAAGACTCAATATCATCAATTTACACATAAAGTGTGCCAAAGACTTTAGTCTTATTTCAAAATGAATCCAAAACTAACAGTTTTTCTTTTTCTTTTCTTATCTTTTCTTTCGCTTAGTATATTTTTCCTTTTTTTTTTTTTTTGAGACACAGTTTCACTTTGTTGCTCAGGCTGGAATGCAGTGATGTAATCTTGGCTCACTGCAACCTCCACCTCCTGGGTTCCAGTGATTCTCATGCCTCGGCCTCCCAATTAGCTGTGATTACAGGCGCTCATGACCATGCCTGGCTAATTTTTTTGTATTATTAGTAGAGATGATGTTTCACCATGTTGGACAGGCTGGTCTCCAACTCCTGGCCTCAAGAGGTCCGCCCACCTTGGCCTCGCAAAGTGCTGAGATTACAGGTGTGAGCCACTGCACCCAGCCCAAAACCAACAATTTTCAAAAGCATTTTATATCTGATTCATATAGCAACATGAAATATTTTAAAAGAGAAAAACTCCACTTTTTCTTACTTGCACTGATACTGTTAAAGAGAATAAAAGATATCATCAGCATATTCTGTTCTATTTTAAAAAGTGAAGCGTTCATTACTTCCACTTAGAATTATCTCACAACTGATCAATTAAAAAATTAGAAATCTATTAGGGA